GAGGCCGGCGCCGGCGAGACCCCCTGAAGGCCCAGGAGGTGTGGAAGACTGGCGGGAAGCCGTCGCTCTGGCCTCTCCTCAGGACGTTTTGCTTGCAGTGTTCGGCTTGCCTGGCCTTTCACAAAAAAGTCTGGGAAACAGCACGCAGGAGAAATCCAAATGATGACAGGCTCCGAGCGTGTAATAGGCTTTCAAAAGAACTAGCAAGAAGGGGTTACAGTGAAAGAAACACAATGCAGTGTTGGATTTGCAAAGCAGCGTATCAACTACGGCGGAGAAATGTATTGTGGGCACATCGAAATGCCTCTTACAGTCCAGCGTGCGTGGACACGGTCTGCACAGAGGGTCCGCGTCTCACGCCATCCGTCAAATACACGGAATGCTTTCGGTCGGCGCAGATCGTCATGGAATATTACACTAACTGCACTGACGAATGCACTCTCAATAGCTGCAACGCAAGATTCATATTTCCGAAAGAGGACACGGTGACACCGCATATTTCTACCACATACTTGAATATCTGATTGTCTGGTTATTGAAAATCCAGCACTCACATGTGAGCATACAGGTGTATTGGTGTCTGCTTGTTTTCTTCAATTTCCCGGCAAGGCATTTACTCTCTCAAACACAAAAGAGTTCTATTTCACAACAGTTCATTTTCCCGTTCCTAATTTTTATTATATTCTGAAGAAGCGAGTCACTTCACTGCCACAGAAAATATGTACAGTGGCAACACTTCCCACTCACCGTCGAAACAGCCTTGCCTCCCAACACTTGGAAAATTCTGTCACCCATTGCTACATGTGAAACAGGTTTCATTAAGCAGTGCACATATAAACTTTTCTTTCGCCAAAGCGCATAAACGTTTTTGGGTGTAAAAGGACAAAAGCAGAAAGCCTGTATCTGTATTCCAGTTTCACTTACATCTAACTCCCAGTTTTACCGGTCCCCTCACTCACACCCTGCGAGAGACGTGAAACTGGTCGTCTTCAAGCACGCTGGAGTGTACTCGCAATGCACCCCGGCGGCGTCCATGCCCTTCTCTATTTAACCTTGGCCCCGTGCCGCCACTCCCTCCAGATTAATCAGAGTTCTGTTCACAAGGTCGATTTCTAACTTGGGGCTAAATACGGCCCTCGCCGCCTACAGCGATCTATCATTTGCAACTCCGGATTTTTTAAATCGACCAAGTGGCAGTGTGGTTTTCTAGGTCGCTCCTCTCAAGTTTGTTTTTCTGAGAAGCAGCTTACCTTTGGCTTTCAGATTCCTCAGACGGGAAGTTAAAATGCTACCGAAATCCCCTCCTCCTGTGGGGTGAGGGTCAGAGGGAGGCGAAAACTGACAGGCTCCTTTATCTGCCAGAAGCAACCGTCCACTGCAGCCTTGGGCGCCCAGGGGGGTCGGAGGCAGGCTGGGAGCGTCACGTGCTGGGCCCGGCCACTCCTTCCTGCCCAGCCGGCCTGGTCACTTCTTGGCCCCGAGGCCCGCGGTGCGAGGGCTGCACGCCTCCTCCCAGCGCAGCGTGGGCGTCCCCGTGGGCGTCGGGGGCGGAACCCGGCGGCCCGGCTCCCGCACTCCCCGCCCCGCAGGCCA